GAAGAAACTTCACGGTAGTGACCCGGTTACCTTGCTTAGTGTATAAACGCAAAGTAAACCACGATCAACGAAGCTGAGCCGCATTCATAAATGCAAGCAATCGATACAGTTGAACAATGAGATTTTCACCGGGGATGATGGAGCTACTTACTCCGTTTTTCAACAATCTCTCTTCGATTCTTCCTCAGGATTGATCAGACCGTCAATTATGGATTTGTAGGTTGAACAACTGGAATAAAGCTGTTCGAAAACTTCGATCGATTTCGCAAGACTTTTATATCATACATTCCAAATTTTCCTTCTTTATTTAGAAAGAAAGGTTAGAATGTAAAACTTTGGTCCGGTTCTGGATTACTCATTTCAGGTCAGAATGAAATCGGAACACACAGTTGTAGCTGTGTGACTCAGAAGCTTGAACAAAATAGCCAACGGTGAATGTTTGGGGTAATCTGTTCCCGCAATTCGATTGAAATCACAAATGATCGATACTCGATTGCTACTTCATCCTGCATCCACATTGCAATCTGTCAGTGATTGGACATCAGCTAGTGCTTGCGAGAGCATAACGGTGTTTGCAAGCCGAAGACTTCAAAATGTTGAAATTGAAATCCTGGGGTTCCGTCCTAAAGGAGTTTCCAATTTTCTAACCGCGATCTCTATTATTGGAATCCGCTGCTCACAGAGTGTATAGTGTATTGAGCTTGGATTGACATTGACTACCCATTTTCAAAAAGTCACTCTTCAATCAGCCAAAGTTCCATTTCTGAATGGTCCTTAGACCCAAACAAATGCACTGAGGTTTTGTTTTCCATTATTCGTAGACCCTCCCAACCATCTGTTGCCAACATCTTGCTCAACACCTCAGACGTTGAAAGGTCACAGCACTTCAAATACCTTGATTATTTTCTGTCTGCTGACCTCAAATGGTCCTACCGCATTTCTTAAAGTCAGAAAGTTGACAAACTTACATCTCACACCAACTTCAGAGGGTGCCGTTGTATGTGATTTCTAAATTTATTTTCTCGTGTGTTTTAGGCCATTTAACCTACTAGTCCCCCGTTATCTTCCCCGATATATTGTTTAAGAATTGATCAGACTCTCCCTGAAGAAATCTCTAGATATGGAGCTGTCCCTTATGTGGCGCTGGTCGGCTGCTCTAAGAACCAACACCTTGAGGCGTGTAAGCGTCTGTGTGACTCCATCATGTCCGACTCACCACATTCTTTACACTTAACCCTCCCTCACTCCATATCCACATCTATGTCTCCGGCATTTAATTTAAACCTTCACACACTCGCGCCACAGCTTTTCGCAATTTCCTAGTACCTTCGCTTTCTCATTTATTGGTGTCCAGGAGACAAATGTCATAACAACTGATACACAGTTTCTTTGGCGAGTCTTTGGCCGGTTTGAATCACCACCATTCCCACGTTTGCTATCAGCGTACATTCGACCCTATACAGAGTACGCCATCCAAGCTTGGAGTCCATGGCTTCAGCGTGATCGCAAGATGCTTGAGCGTCCACCAAGGATGGCCACCAAGATGGTCAAGGGATTCCAATACCTGTCATACGAGGACAGATTGCGATCATTGGGACTATATTCTGCTCAGTATCGCCGAACTCGAGGAAACTTGATTTTGACGTATCAAATACTGAAGAACCCAAACCATCCGTGTCGATCGCTTCTCATGTTATCGAACAATGTACACCTAAGGGGACACCGTTTCAAACTACTGATTCCAAAGTCTCGACTGGATTGCCGGCGCCAGTCTTTTGCTGTCAGAGTATGCAAATCTTGGAATGCCCTTCCATCTCATGTCGTTTGTGCACCCACTATTGAATCTTTCAAGCAGAGACTCGACAAAATCTTGGCACACCTCACATTCGTACACTAAAGGCAAACGGGATTCACTGTAGCCTACATTCTCTATCTCCTACCCGGATCCCTATGTGACTCCTTTTTTGATGTGTAACGATTCATCTGTGTTAACATCCTATGGGACAAGAGAAGCACCAGCTTGTAAGCTATTCCCATAATAAAACTTTGACTTTGACTTTGACTATGTTAATTGTCATGCTGCAATTTTCTACATTTGCTACGCGTTCATGCTCTTCTTCATTATATCTACTTGCAATCCGTCATATCGTCAAATGCTCTTTAATGGTATGTATGCCAAAGCAAAAGCGATGAAAGTTTTTTAAATGTCTGTCTACAACGGAAGAATAAAGAGCCCTCTTGTCTTGACTTGATGAAAATCGTCTTCTAACGGATTTTTCCCTTGCAATACCTCCTATAGCTGGGAGATGTTTTTTGGTGTACCCCTTTTTCTCTACTTTTTCCTATCCTATTTGCACATATTGAGTAAGGACGTAAGAAGAAACCTCAGAACCAGATAGTCAATTGGTGTGGAAGAATGAAGATGATACAACATATCGCTTACAATCCACGAAAATCCTGCACACCTTATTTCTTGAACCTATGTTTTTTTCTTCTTAGGAAACACATACTAGTGAAAATAAATAAAAAAAAAGGTGTAGGGAATTGGAAGGATTATTTTTCCGTAACGAAATTTGGATGAAGAAGCCAAAAACACATTTTTCCACAATGTACTCGGGAAAAGACACCAGGTGCATATAAGATGACAGTGGTTCGGAAACTGCCCTTCAAAGGTGACGATATCAGCTGCCTGATTACCAAGAGCCTAAAATCGGCCGTTAGGTGCATCTACTAAGCAGCTGACCCCATCGCTGTTTGAAAACCGCCCGGTTGCTAATGCCATAGGTGATAGAACCGCTGTCTCCCCACGCCAAATCAAATTGTATCTATCAGTTCAAGTGTGGATGCTCGGCCATCTACATCGACAGAAAGGAGAGACAACTGCGTTACTGAATAACTGAACGCATCCCGGTCTGGCTTCAGAAAACAATGAGTGGGAACTTCGGAGGTATGAGATCCCCAAGGACGCGTAGGAAACTCAGTTCGTCGATTACACAACACCTGGTCGAAATGAAACAGTGTCATGCTGCGTGACGCGTTCAGAATCCTCTACAACACAAAAAACACCAAGGTTCTGAAATACGCCGAGGCACTAGCACTTCAAAATTACCATCCCAAACTGTGTAAACAACGTGAATGGCTTATCACTTTGGTACTACCTTGGGAGCAAATGTGTTTGGTGCGTAATTTTAACCGCAATCTTTCTCCGCCTATGATTCTGTTATTTACTGACCATATATTAATGATCACTATGCACGTGTACAGACGCAGCGAAATGATCTAGGATACATTGTGCAAACCTGTTTTTGGCTTCTTTATTCAAAAAAGGTGTACATAAAAACATTCAAGTATGATTGTTTTTTCTCATTCGTTTTGTATCTCGCTTTCCAATTCATTTATTGATGTGATTGTACCGGCAGGATGCTTGCACGTAATCTACTGTGACATTACATATATACATACATTTAACATCATATATACACATAATATGTTATTGTGTATATAGCTGACGGTGAATGTATCTTGAGTCATCCCAATATCTGTCTATATTTGGCGCTTAATCTGCATCCTAATGATGTGCGTCGTGCAACACCGATCAATCAAGAAAAAAATTGCGGCTCTTTCGCAAGACCTTCGTAAACAGCAGCGGTAAGCGGTGGTGAGACAGTTTAGGTTATGATAACGTAAATTAGGAGATCATGATCTCGAATCCTGCCTCCTTCGCACATTCTCTTCATATATTCGTTTCTCCAAGCGCTGTTTGTTTGGCCGTACATAAACATATATACCATAAATTTGTATAATCAATGAAGAAAACGTTAGTACAACGAGAATTAGCTTACCAATATGGAGACATGCTCGTATGACCGACGGACTGGTCTGACTATTTTGTTACTATTTTGTTGCTAGATACAAGTGAAGTTTGAGAATTTTATTGATGGAAGTCTTCCAATTTGTAGGAACGTTTAGCGTCTTCCCATCTTCGAAATGCCTAGCTTTCCACATCATTGGCGATTCTACCAGCCTACAGATAAACTCTATGGTGTTTCATATAATAATACCGAAGTAATATTCCACCTGCTTCTTGGTTCAGCGATAAACCACCGCGGATACAAGAAATCTTTCTTGCTGCTGTGCAAAATGAAAACAGAACTTTGCATCATCCACCATTTCACCAGTTATCCATGACCTGTCACACGCCTTGTACTGAATAGCAAACCTAAATGAATCGGTTCTAAGAACGGGAGACAGCGACTTAATAATAATAATAATAATGTCTTTTTACTTCCTCTTTCAGGAAGAGGGAGGGACATTTTATATCCCTAAAGAAACGCATAAACGATTACTGGGTTTTGGAATTCAGCCACCTGATCGAGGAATTCATCCAAAATTGCTCTTCGATATAGTAAAAAAATAACATCACTCTATTTTTTCTAATCTTTGGCTGCGGTAATAAGAGATTATAGCATTATGTGTTAGAACAGAGAGAAGGCAACTCCCACGAGATGATAACATTTCTTACAATCGCCTCAGTCACCTCAACGTGAAACAATCTGGTATTCCTACACAGAAGTTTTGATAACTACAGTGGTGCGCACAAAACGTTCTGACGAAATCAGTCAAACCGCATGGGAATTGAGTTGCCCTCCCACTGACTGTTGTTCGTTGAAACACTGTAATTATGAAAGCTTCCCTGTAGAAGTAACAGATTGCTGTGGCGACTGAGGGGCTCAAAATAGATGTTCGTATTTCGCAGTATTTTCCTTCTCTCTGTTCTAATGAATCGGATAAAGGATCCCAATGTTTCATCATTAGTGTGTCTAAGTGTGGGGATGTGTTATCCGTCAAACTGCTTAACGTGACAGTGCTGTAAAAAAACTCCAAAATACCATTTCCTTGAATGTTTGACTATCTAAGCTCGAAGTTTTTTTAATTTACTTTGCATTTTCACACACATCGGAGTCCAGACTGTGTGCCAAACTAACCACAGTGCAATGCTCTCTATAAAAAAGAAAAGAAGTTTCATGATTTACTCATGGTCGCTGTAATGCCAGATTGCCCAGTTCTCGCAAAGCTGATAGACAAACATCAATCTGCTCTAAAACATCCGAACACGGAGATGATATTACCTGTTGCCTAACAATAAATGAAACGGGTTTCACCATTGAGTCAAACATTCACTCCGTCCCGTCACGTGGTCGATACAACGTGAATGACTTACTATTGCCACGCCCATAACTGATTGTACTCCCATGGGCTCATTCCCGCCCACGGGCAAGCTATGATCAACCTGACTAACACGCATTTGGTCCCGTTCCTAAATAAAGCAACTTCCGTGAAATAATACTCGGACGGGACAGGTTGATTTTAATTAAGGGAACTGTAACGTTGCCGATCAATTTTTGTACACTGAGGCGGAAGTCGCTCCGATCGACCAAGATTAGTCAGCGCAAAAGGATATTAGTATGGTAAATAAACGAGCAGATATAAGCGGTAACCAACGTCATCAAACCCGGTTAAAACATGTGAAGAGTGTTTTTTTTTAATACACCCACGTTTTGCCTGTCCAAAACATGTGGGCAAAGGAAACTAGGGCGTTGTTGTTCATTGGGTAAGCGAAATATCATAAGCATTTCTTTGGGAGTGAGCGAAGAGCAAAATGTAATTAGTAATGAAAATCGTTTCAAATTTATGTTTTTGCCTCCAGTTTCATTGATAGCCAGAGAAACTGAAGCCAATTTTTAGAATGGGAAGTAATAGTTGACAAATGATAACCAGTGAATATGCGAAAAATAGGGATTTGAATACTCAGCATGGGGATCAAAGCGATGGTGATCGATATCACTGATTCTTTTGTCAGATGCATGTTCAGACTGAATCAATGTTATGCATATTGGGTACCCAAGGTCAAAACGAACGGTTGAGTACCTTATTATTTCGAACACATTATCATCCTCATATATTCGAGTTCGTTCCAAACGTTCCAACCCCTACCAGCTGTCTAGTTGGTCCAACCTATAAAATTACCCAAAGTTACATTTTTTCCGACCTAGCTGATAACCAAACAGGGCAGATCAAGTCATGCGTCACATCGCACATTATTAGAAATTAGAGTAAAGCATGATGCAATTGAAAATATAGTGCTCCACTTTCAGATTTAGAAACCGCTCATTACCTATTTATTTGATACACTTTTGAAGTGCCACTGGTGGATTCTAGGTCCGAAGTTTTATTGCGTCGAAGATTGCATGATTTCTTGGAAGCCGAGCTCAGCTAGGGGCTCCCTATCTTAAATTAATTACAAATAAAAACACCCTGAGCACAGATTTTAAGATCCTCTTTGGCTTCTGGTGTCTCCTAATAGTTTTATTGGTGGTGAAAGTCAGATACAGTTTGCCGGAATTGTGATAACTTTAGAAAAGCTAGTGAGCAAAACGGTGTATCATGGGAATGTCGGTAACGGTGATGTTACACACAAAAAACGCTCAAGAAAACACTATTCGAGATGGACATATGAATGCGTGCAATTAATGAATCACATAAAAGCCCATTCATCCATCTATTCACTCATTCATTCATTCATTCATTTATTTAATAATTTATTCTTTCATTCTTTCACTTATTCATATTTACCGTCATACCTGCACACATGTGCAGCAGGATTATATTCCATGTCAGAGAAATTCGAAATTAGGTCACACTCACCTTGAACAGCTGTTCCCGTGGTGTTGCGAGCAGATTAGCAAAATCGGCCACCATATTCAACGGACGTCGATGGGCTTCCAGATGTTGCGATCGGAGCCAATCGTAGAGCCAGTTGATTCCACGAAGTAATTTATCACCGGTTTCCCAGTCAATTGGGATAGAGTCTGTTGTATACGTGAGGAAAATTCGAGCAGGAAGCAGGTGCATGAAAGTAAAAATTTCATTGGATGCGGTTCTCGTTAAGCAAATTGTGCCAAATCTCAGAGTGAGCATATTGCTCATCGTATAGTTTATCATTCAAACTAACCCTGTTGACGTGTGAATGGTCGGTTTTAGAAAAACATGCAACGCGCTTGTTTCAGAAGCCGGTAGGTATCGATCACATAGGTGAAAAACAGAATGGGCATATTTTGTATTCGTATTCCCACGAAATAGTTCGAATAATTTTACTCTTCAGTCAAATATGCTGTCAAAATGTTGGAATATTATACAGGGACATCACCGGTTAGCATAAAGAGGAAAGGCAAAAAATATAAAGTTCAACATGTGTTCCCAAGTGGTGGACAAGTCTGTTTTTGCTCGTGCTATTTTCGTCGGAATCCGAACCAGGTGGGTAACGGGGAGATGTGTACAGATTAATTCGAAGGGTCCATCGTCAAAATTTGAGCGGGGAACAGATGAAATGGAAAAAGTGATGGATCACGGTGCAATGGGTGTATGGTACCTTACGGCATCATTGTACATCAAAGGTGACCGAGAACCAGTATTCGAAAAGGGAAACCAATTTAGCACGATTAAATTCCTGGATGGTTTCGTTGCATCTCAACTGGTGCCCACTGTGGACGAATATGATTTTACATGGTGTGGGAATGGATTACAAAATGAACATAAACGTGAACGAGGGGAGGGTTAGTAGAGCAAACTTGAGTGGAAGAATAAGTCTTTTTTACACAGTACGGGTTTCCATTGATTGAATGCTATCGCTTCGGCGAGGTATTATCCCTGGTACAGATTATACCAAATGAGTTCGCCCTGATCAACGAGATGTTGCATTATCAACAAATACTTGACAGTTAAAGTTTTTGGTGTTTTTTAACAACCTCTTTGCTAGTAACCGCCTGTGTTGAGAATCGCAGAAGTTTTCATTCATCGTCAACAGATGAGTTATTGGTCGACCAATTCCACAATCCGTAACGGTTCACACCACTGCATTTCCTCTTCACTATCTTCACGGTGCAATAAAAGGAGCGATCTTGCTACCTTAATATCTATATTCCCTCTTGTGCCCTATCCTGGCTTATCCAGTCATAAAATTCACATGCTGATTTATCAGCCCTCCCTGAGTGGAGTGATTGTCATGATTTGTGTTTAAATCATCCTGAGTGCTTCGATGTTCCCTTTTTGCTATCAAAGGCAATAAACACGATGAATTTTTCGAATTTAAAGCTGATCTTCTTGTTTACTGGTTACCCACTGGCAGACCTTTTACTGGTCAACGTCTCGGTGCAACGTGTCATCGTAATCATATATGTACCTGGTCGGATCATACTATTGTCTAGTTCAGACAAGTAAAACTGATATCGCTTTCCACATTCCCTATCTCCTCACTTCTTAGTAAACATTTGGGTTGTCTGCATGCATACTGCCGAATTATTCTTACGGATTACGAGTAATCCTTTTCTGTTCCACTCAATAAAGACTTTAAACTTTTCTCCAGGTCCCTCAAACGTCCAGGAGTTCAACTTGGCCGATTCGTCGTGTTCATTCTCACTAAATGCTCCAATGCATGTCGAATAATTTGCGATGTTCACTACGACCAGGTATATATGCTCGTACAAATNCCTGCCACTCTTTTCTGTTGCACCAAATTTGGCTCGTTTTATTGGCTATTCTAAACAAATCGCATGCCAAATAACTATTGCACGGTACAGATTGACTTATTATTGTTTGCATGTGTGTGTGGCTGAGCATTACTTTTCCATTGTTCTAACTTAGTTATTCGTTTTGGAACGATTATGTAGCATCCAAATATCCATCATTTGGAATGCGTAAACATATACTTCGACTGATTTCACTTGACCATATCGTACGTTTACTTTAAATGAATATCTAACTCGGTATCCAGTTAGTTAACGGGACAAAGTCTGGATTACAATTTGGAATTCAACTAAATGGGTTAAAATACCGATAAGTTGTTATGGAATTCCTTAGACTCAGAAATCATAAATATCATCAAAAGATTCAAAAGCATCGGTCTAATCAAATACGGTAGAAAGGGAGGATGCAAGAAGGTTATTCATATGAGTGGAAAATGGAAAAGTGAACAACAATGACCTCCGGAATAACTGCCAAAAGGTTTATACATAGTTTACTGTCTGCAGTATGTTGTAAAGGCTATTAGACAGTCATTAACAGATAGTTGAAATAGCCCAAAACGTCAGGATTTTCAGACAGAACAAGTCAGGGCATTGAATGAAAAATCGCGGATAAGTAGGGGAAAAACAGCGAATAGATCGCCCAGATATGGTCAAAAATTTGGCGGTGAAACAGATACAGAAGGATACGACGGCCCCATAACTAAACCAGTGTATATCATCTAGTGCGTACCTCTGGCGAGCAGAGTTGTGTGCTACTGAGTTCGTCTCCAGGTAGTTGGTAGGGGAACGGCCGTTATGTCGCGGCTAACTGTGAAGGTGGCGGTCGCGGACGATCAGCGATAGCGATCGAGGATGTGTTGGGTTTACCTAATAGCACGGTCTCCACATAAACATTACACATATCCATGAAAAACGCCGTGACGTGGTGAGTGTGGCCCGCAAATATATATGGCCACTGCCCTTTTTCGAGATTCATTATTCAACAAAGTTATTGAAAAAAGATGAAAAAACCAAAAATTGGCCACCGGCCAATCTAGAACATCGCGGTTGCCTTTTGGTCCGCAGTTGTTCGCACAAAGGCCAGAGTGCACCCTCGAAGAAGGCCTACTCTGGACCTGGAGACCGAGTAGTACAACAGCCCACAACACATACAAATATGAACTCTTCTACTTCTACGAATTCCAACGCCAAAGCTTCTCCATTCTGTGCAAAATATTCCACACCATACACACCATCAAGATTCCCCAACCTCCTCACATTTTTCCCTCAACCCCTTCACATCCCTCCATCTTTATCGGATTTTTCAGACAATTGTACTAACAGTAAGATCTCGGATGTAAACTCTACCACTGCTCTTCCACGCACTAACTCGACTACCGTCCAAGTATCACCAGATTCTCTATCAGTTGAAGCCCTTAGTCGTCCTCGATGTGCATTCCAACTAGACAAATTTACTGTATGTAGTCTGATGCCTATAGAACAACAAGCGTGTTTAACTCAACCACTCAAGACACTAGCCATGGACATGTGTTGTATTCAGAAAACTCGCGTTCAAGACTCTAGCTGCACTTTCCGATTGACGTCCCCATCAAACCAATCTGCGAAATTTCACCTACGTCTGTCTTGGGACCCGGAGGCTGCGGCTCCCGGTCTTGCTGGCTTTGGCATGACTCTCAATGAGAGAGAGAGAGAGCAAAAGCCGCGCTCCTAGGTTGGACCCCAGTCGACAGTAGCTTATGAGCAGTGAGACTCGGAGGTTCGTGCAAAGTAAGCATCCGTCGTCTAGATCGACGAAACTTGTTTGTCGTGTCGACGTATACTCCAACGGACTGCAGCTTAGACACAGCAAGGGATAAATTCTACCAAAAATTTTACTTCTTGAGTAAAGCGAAGCGGGCTGATATCGTGATTTTAGCCGGAGATATGAGTGCTAGAGTAAGCTGGCTGACTTACAGTGAGGCGTATCTGTGAGGGCCGTTCGGACTGCATTCCTGTTGCTCGGAAAATGGGGAACCACTTTTGGCTCTATCGTCCTCCTCAGTATGAACTATAGACGATCCAGTTATGGGTACGCCATTTTGCTTCCGTCCTCCTAGAGTCAGCAACGAAACGCAACTCGACCACATATCTACAAGCCGAAAATGGCCGGATTACATAAAAGAATGCCGACCGTACTGGAGCACTCCCCTGAAATCCGACCCAGCATTAGTATGCACCAAGCTGTCCATGGGCTTCGGTGGACGTTCCAAGTGCATGATACGACGGTTGGACTGTGATAAGCTGTCTAAACCAGCTTGTCTAACTGTCTTCCGTAACGCGTTAGCTGAAAAGCTAGAACCAACCCCACCCGATAACATCACTGGTTGCTTATCAATAATGCTCTGCATTCTACTGGTTTAGTTGATTGTAGTTTGACACGTCGTGCCGTAACACCCTGGATTTCTGCGGAATCTCTACACCTTTTGGATGTACGTCGGTCAATTTCAACCGGCAGCGAGTGTCATAAAACACGTGCTTCCGCCATGGGAAATTCCAGTAATCTGTTCCATCACATACGAGTCACCGGTAGGGAAGCTTTCGGTGTGAGCGAAACGATTTGTGAAGCTAACGGCTCGCTCACGCATAATCAACAACGACGTCTTGCAAGCGGGGCGGAGCACTTCAAAGCACAGTTTAGCTGGCCACCAGCGTCAGCTTTTCATATAGATTTTCCGGCACAAGTCCGATGGTCTGTCTCAACAGACCCACATTCTGAGTCGGAAATCCGTAAGGAGATTCAATTTTTGGGACGTCACAAAGCGCCGGGTTCTGACAGTCTTCCCCTTTAAAGTTGAAGAAATAGAGCTTGTTAAAGACTTACAGGTTCTGTTCTCTAAAGTTTGGAACACTAAGCAGGTCCCCTCTTCGTCGGGAAAATCGATTGTTGTCCCCGTCTCTAACAAGGGCCCGCGCAGTGACTGAGCCAATTATAGGGGTATAAGCTTTATCCCAATAGCGTCAAAGCTGTTTGAGTCCGTCATTCTCCGCAGACTGTATAATGTGCTTCAAGAGCAGAGTCGTGAGCAACAGGCTGGGTTTCGCGCTGATCTTCAACCTCCGACAGTTGCCAGAACACCGTCATGCTTACCACAGACCAAAGATCGTTGTGTTCTTAGACATTCACGTGGCGTTTGACTCTGTAGATAGGGGCACTATGGAGCTGCTTTGTTTAGGAATGAAGTACCTGGCGATTCTCAAAGATTTGTATCGCCATACCTCAGGTCGGGTTAGGCCTTATGGTCAGCTTT